TGGACCGTTCAGGGTTCAGCTGCGCTTGCTGTGAAACTCTCAATCCAGAGTTTCTGATTGCTGTTCTTTTGTGGGGGTGGGACCAGCCGAGCCTGATCGCCTGGCTCCCTGCCTCAGAGCCTTTTTTAAGTTGGTGTTCCAGTCGCCTGTTGAAGAGGTGCCGGGGTCTGTTTGTTTTCTCCTGCGGCCACTCACTGCGCTGCCTCAAACAGCGGCACTGAGTTTTGTGGTGCTTCTTTTTTCTTGCCCTGGAATCTACTGTCCTGGTTCTCTGCTCAGTCCCCTCTTTAAACAGACGAATGGGTGACTTCCCGGGGCTCCAATCACCAGCCAAAAGGGCACCCGGACCGGTGTATTTTGTTATGGAGAACTGGCGAACCACTGCTCCGGTGCGCCGACAAAGCAGCCACGCAGGTCAAAACAGCAGCACCGGCCGGCACAGCCGTGCTGGCGGAAACAGCTGCGCTGGTGACCTGTGGAGCTCCTCTGCCTGGGAATTTCCTAGTCTGTGGGCAATAAAAATGCGGCATCCACTCATCCTCAGCGCTTTCACTTGGAGCTGCATTCCTGAGCTGTTCCTAAACGGCCATCTTGGATCCTCATCTGTTAAACATCTTTTAATGTATCTGTAAGCATGCCATTGGAAGAAATCATATGGTGAGACACCACACTGTTTCTTTATTCAGTTTCCTCCAGTGATAAATTCTTGCAAAACTATAATATAACATCACAACCGATAAACTGGCATTAATACAATCCATCTTCAGATTTCACCAATTTTACATGTGCTCACTTATGTGTGTCTGTGTGTGTGTTTAGTTACATTCAATTTTATCATATGACTACATTCAAGGGACAACCACCATAATAATAATACAGAAGAGTTTCATCAACACAAGGATCTCGCACTTTTCCTGTGATAGCCACACCCAACTGTCCTCTCAAATTCATCATCCCTAGTGACCACTATTCTCAGCCTATATAATTTTGTTATTTTGAGAGTGTTTTATAAATGGGATGATTTGAACTGGAGACAGATGATTTAGGATATGTGGTGGGGGAAATTTCTAAGCAGCAAAGCATTCAAGAGGTAACCTGGATTTTTCTGAAAGCATTCAGTTATATGCATTCACTAAGAGATGGTTTGCTATTGGAACATACATTTGAAAGGGAAGCAGAGCATAAAAGTTTGAAAAATTTGCAGCCTGATGATGTGATAAAGACAAAGCATCATTTTTGGTGGAGAAATTTAGCAGACTGCAGAAATGTGCATAAATAATGAGAAGCCAAATGTTAATTATGAAGATAATGGGGAAAATGTCTTTGGGGCATGTCTGAGATCTTGGCTGCAGCACCTCCCATCACAGGCAAGGAAGCCTAGGAGAAAAAAATACTTTCACTGGGCCCAGGGCCCCTGCTGCTCTCTGTAGCGTCTGGACATGGCAACCTGCATTCCAGTTGCTTCAGCAACAGTTGTGGCTAAAAGGGTGGCTTCCACATGGTTGGTGTTGGGCTTGTGGTGCACAAAAGTCAAGAGTTGAGGTTTGGGAACATGGATTTTAGAGGATGTATCAAAGTACCTGGATGTCCAGGCAGAAGTCTGCTGCATTCTTTATAAAATTATAAAATTTCTGAGGCTTTGCCAGCCATGCAGAACTGTGAGTCAATAAAATCTTCTTTGTTTATAAATTACCCAGGCTAAGGTAGTATCTTTTCGGGAGTGATTAAGTGCACTAATACAAATACTTAACTGAAAACTTAGTTCAGATCAGTTGTGTATACTGGGAACACAAAATCTACACATGAGATAATATAAAAACTAGAATTAGATCTTTTTCCTGGATGTATAGCTCTGTTTTTATCATTTGGATTACCCTTTGGCAATCTCACCTTACCTTAGTATGCTAGGCATTTCTAACAAGAATAGCATGTATAGGTACTTACGAAAGAGTTAATTTAACCATAGATAATTGTAATTAAATTAATTATGAAACACATGAGAGGGAATCTAAATGTAGCTATTTCTGGATTAAACAGGCAATGCATATCCTTTATAAACATAACCATGTTCTCTGATCTGTATCTTAGAGTCAGTAAAATATATTAATAATGATACCTTAACAATAATACATCATTTTGTGTAGTCATATAACAATACATGAGTACCAACTGGGAACACACTATCACAAATAGGAAAATCTCTCACCTCGCTTTCCCGTATATTGATAATTACCCTCCATTTTCTTTCTTAATCTTTCTACAAGGTTCTTTCTATTACTCCAGTAACGTTAACAGTTTAAAGACTTTCATGGAGTAATGACTTCTCCTACACCGCACTCCTTTGACTTCCAGCTCACCGCAACACAGCTTACAAAAACATTATAGGAGGGAGAAGCAGCAAAGAACATTGCAGTTAATGGCATGCACTTTGTTATCAGTGTCTACTTTTCTGACCTGGGGCAAGTAGCATATCCCCCTATATGCTTCATTTTCCTACCTCATAGAGTTATCAGGATAATTAAATTAAATTAATGATAACTTATTTGTAAAGCACTTAGAACAATTTCAGACACCTAACAGGTATTATGCTGAAACTTTAAAAATCAACAAATAAGTCTAGGTTTGGGACCGACATTACCACCTCCAAGAATCTTTCCATAATTTTGTTCTCACAAAACCAGGTTACATGTCCCTTCCCTTTAAATTCCTCCTCCATGTGCTCTGGCTTCTCATTATATTCATCACACTATAATGTCATTTTCAGTTGTTTTTTAGGATTTCCTCATTGAAGCGATCTGCAGGGAAGATGTTCTGCAGCTAATAATTTCAAGTTTCCTTATGGCAGGTACTTTATCTTTTTTCAATCTATCAGATCCCCAGTGTCTAGGATAGTATCAAGTATAGAGATACGTAACTAAGAAAATTGTTGAATGAATTGTCTAAATTTTTCATCTGCTAAGATTCTTACTCCTTTTATATGCCCACCAATTATAGTACTTCACTTTGTAGATACACAATGATAATAATATTAACAGTAATTATAATAATCAATATATCGGTCATGAGCTGCCTTAGTCTGTTTTGTGGTTATAAAACTAAATATCTAAGATGAGTAATTTATAAGTACAAAAATATTTCTCCCATATTTCTGGAGACTAGGAAGATAAAGGTCAACTTATCAGGATCTGATGAAGGTCTTGCTCTATCCTCCCATGGTGGAAGTGAAATTTTCTGTATTT